AAACCAAACTAATCATTCTGTGGGTATCACCCTTGCTATGCGCCCCGGGGGGGGGGTGAGGGTGGTGCGGGGGGGGGGGGGGGGGGGGGGGGGGGGGGGGGATCTAATTTGGAGATACGTGCCATCTCTTAAAAGTAATCACATGCCTTCAAGGAAAGAGCCTAATCTAGAATATTCTCTACTGATCTAATCCCCCAGAATGAAAAGGAAAAAAAAACACTACAACTACAATTTTGTTTCATTAGTAAGGCTAATAAAAATAACTTCCCATATAAGTCCCCTGTTTCTCCGCATCTGTGCCTTTAATTCAATATTTCAGCAGCTGAATAAATAAAACTCAGAAGTACTCATTAAAAATATCTACTTCAATAGATGCAGCTGCTTTCAGAGTAAGTGCTAATGAATACATTGCCTATGAATCTATTTGAAATTCAATCCCCAGCCATCTGCAGAATTCTCTAACAATTCTCTATTACTGGTACATCCAAAAAGATCTATTCCCTAGATGTCTCCGCATTTTCTAAAACTAGTCATTACCGACTTCATAAGCTCATTGTTCCTACCATTGCTCTTTTATTCCTTTTTTTTTTAAAGTTACTCTTACAAATATGCATATATCACTAGAAACTAAATTGAAAAGAGGAATTCAAAATGGAAAAACACTGACATAACATTGAAATATCAGTTGGAAAAATATATCTGCCTACATTTTGCCCTCCTACCCATTCCCATCCTAAATTTGAATTCCCAAAATACCAGAGGACATGTAACAAAACGTAATTCTGAATCCAGGGAAACAAAAGAATAGCCACTAATCCAGTTTCTTAAAATAAAGGGACAGCCCACTCTTGGCAATATTAAAGTAAGAGATGGGTCCACTATACAAAATGCCATGAGCAAAAAAAAATGTATCAATTTGGCAAGAAAAAAAATGGACAGGAAAAAAAACTCTGGGGCAGGACAAGAAGTCTCAACTACAGCCTTCCTGCGAACCTAGACTCTGTAGAAATGAAAGCAGGAGCCAGAAAAAAATCTGGAGTTTTATACAGCGATGTATCTATAACCAATAAATCAAGTACGGGTAGTTCTCGACTTACGACCACAACTGAGTCCAATATTTTTGTTGCTAACTGAAACATTGAGTTTTGCCCTATTTTGACCTTTCGTGCCTATCACTGTTAAAGGAATCACCACAGATGATAAGTTAGCAACATGGTTGTGAAGCATATCTGGCTTCCCCATTGACTTCGGTCTTGGGAAGGTCACAAAAGGTAGTCGCAAGATCCCAAGACAACCTTCATAAACAGGAGTCCATTGCCAAGCCTTTTGATCCCATGACTATGGGGCTACTGCAAGGGTCGTCAATGTGGGAAAAAAACGGTAATAAGTCGCTTTTTTCAATGCTGTTGTAACTGGTCACTAAAGGAACGGTTGTAAGTCGAGGACTACCTGGATCGAGCCTGCATTACAACCATAATGTTCGTGGCCCAACAGAAACTCTTCCCCCACCCGCCCAAAAAAACCGTTCTGGTTTCCATTAGCCATTCTAGTGGGAAAGGCTAGCGATGCCTTCCTTCTCAGTCGCAGAGCTCGGTGGCACCCGAAAAGCGCCGCGTTTAACCAATCTCCGCTCTCCCCTTCCAGCTCCAGCAGAAGCAAAAAGCTGCGCCTTTCGGATACTATCACCCCGCTGGCGCCCATTATAGGTGACCCCCTAAACCAGGGAGGGAGGGAGGAAAGCAGCAGGGAGCCGTTTCGAGCCTAGGTCGGAAGAAGAGCTCCAGGTCGGTTCCAGAATCCTGGAACTTGTTCTCATCAAGAGGCGCGCGCGATAGTGGTGGGCACACACTGGGCGCAGGTCCCCGTTCACCCCGCGAATGAGCCGGGCCAAAACAACTCCTTGCACCGAGTCGTCGGGCTTCTGTCCAACAAGGCCCCGGTGCTCGCCACCCCCTCCGCCGCGGCGCTTGGGTTTCCCCTCTTTCTTACCCCGGCTGGGGCCCCAGGGCCGCAGCCCGCAGCAGCTCTCGCTCCACTTCTTCCCCTTCACTCCGCCATCTTCCCCTCCCTGCTTCCGGTCACCCAATCCGAGCCCGCGCGAAAGGATCACGTTGCCGACGGCTCTCCACTTCTATTGGCCCGAGCTCTTATCGGTCACCTCCCGCTTTTGATTTTTATTGGGCGGCCAACAGAGTCTTGCGCCGCCTCCGCAACACGGAAAAGCCATTGGCCAAAGCGAAGGGGTGGGGCACGCCTTCCTTCTCCTGGAATTGCTCCGCGGCGTCGCTAAGGTAGAAGGCTCGTGGGTTGGTGCGTTCCGGCCATTCTTCAGCGCCTTGAAGGAAGAAATAACCTGCGGGGTGGTTGGCGGCCGGGGTGTATTGGAAGCGACTCGGAGCGGGAAGAAGAAACGTCAGTCGGCTGGGCCTGCGGCTTCTCATTTCCCGTAGAGATGCCTGTCTTTGCCTGCCTTGAACTCAGTCGACAGCCACTCACGCATGCGCACAACGTTCTCATACCAGCGGTCCCAGTTTTGGAATTGGAAAGGACCGACTGGGATTGACGAGAGGGACCGGGGGTAGGGGGCGCGACTGGAAATCATGGCTTACCTTACCGTCTTGAAACGCTGAATCGCAGTGTGATTCTCGATTCAGCATGTGGGGGTGAAGATGTTAAAGCCATAGATTACAGCCTAAGTTAAAGGTCTCCAAATTTGGCAACTTTAAGACTTGTGGACTTCAACTCCCAGAATTCTCCAGCCAGCATAGCTGGCTGGAGAATTCTGGGAGTTGAA